GCGTTTGAGTTCTCCATTGACTCTCCGGGTGACGAATGCCTAAATGAAAGCCAGCTGTTTGGCGTTCTCTTCTTCCCTTGTGTATTGGATGTCGGGGGCGATGGTGTTAAGCAGGTCTTGGAAGTCAGCTGGTCTGCGCCGTTAAATTATTTAATAACGTATATGCAGTAGAATGCAGATTCTTTTTAACTGAAAGCAACTTTTTCCAGCTTTTACATGACCAGTTATTGGAGAACCTGGCCGCGTCTCTTTTATCTGCTTGTGTGTTCGAACTTTGAAAGTAAAAAAGATTATTTGGTAGAAGGGGAATCGTTAAATTAGATAGTTAGCTTTTAAATAGTCCCCGGATTCTTCGTATTTCGTTTGGAGTCGTTTGCATAGAATGTCGCGTGCAAGGTCCGGTGAGATAGATTTCAATAATGAATTCACGTCAAAGGATACCCGAGTTTGATCCGGTTGAGCCGTTCTTTCCCGCACAGTAGTCAAAATGTGGGAGTCCGAATTGATTGAGAGTCTCGAGCCGTCTCGGAGAAATTTTTCTTTTCTAATATTCATTTGGATGGATTGTAAGCAGGGCCGCCTTTCAACGCAACGCTAAGCCGAAGAGGAACGCTATGTTTGTAGATTTCGCGCAGTTCGTGGCACACTATCAGTGCCGTATCAGTTGGCATAAGTTATCGCCATTCGTCTCGCGATATCACATCGGTACGTCTGAGGAGGTTCGGAAGTCCGGTAAGCTAGCTGATAATCGATTTAGCCTGTGAGGAAGGCGTGGATATGTAGGACGGTTTGAGGTCGAGAACGGCTCGCACCTTCCCATTTTAATCAATGCCGTCCATCACGACTCTTGTTCTTCCCTTGTCGGCCGGTAGCACTAATATAGCTGTACTCGTTATCGCTTCTTCTTCGATCGCGAATTACAGATGCATGAGACTGTCATCACTGCAACTTGCCACTGCATACCCCCACCATAGATAACGATACAATCTATGTTCATCTTTTACACATAGATTGAAATGCTAATTCAGCATGTAAGCTGCTTCCAAGGACCGCAGTGGCCGAGTTATTCGTGCCCAAATAGGAACAAAAAATACCCGATGGCCGATAACAAGCAGGTATAATGTACTGCAAGAAGGGGGGATTTGGTTTCCTGGCCTTTTCAACAGACCTGATAGGAGCCAACCTACAAGAACCCTGAATCGCAATCCAATAAACCTCTTTTTTTCCGCGGTTTTATGTTAGCACTGGGCTCACGTCAACTGTCTGTCAAACAGACTTGCATGCATGCGAATTGCAAATACAAATAATTAGAGTAGTTTGGAAGATGTGCTTAACCCAGTTGACCCAGTTGTGAAAAAACTCGCGGCCTCGGCGGGAATCGAGCTCACACAACATGGAAGGCTTTTACGAAGTCAACGCTACGGGGCTTACCAGGCGCCGATAATCCATCCCACAATTGGATTGATTTTACCCGCCCACCTTAATGCTTGTACAGAATTACAGAACAGCAAGCTGACTGTCCAGGCAGTATTTCCTAAGCAAGCATCTAGAATCCACCCGAATGACTACTAGGCTCACTTAATGGTTGGAGGGTTAGGCGGATTTGCTTAATTTAGTTGACCAAAATGTGAAATATTCGCGGCATCGGTGGGGTTCAAACTCACACAACAGAGAAAGCCTTTGCGAAGCCAACGTTCTACGATTAAACTACGAATGGCAAAGGAAATTTGCTTACACTTGACGTTGTTTCAGAGTTCATTTTAAAAGGACAAGGTAGGAAGTTAGCCTTTCATTATATTAAGGGACTCCTTCAAGCCTTAAAAAAAGCATACTTAAAACAATATGGCAAACCATACTCAATTCCTGTGTAATTACTTGGAATTTAATGATTAAAAACCGTTATTATCAGGACTGCTGGCGCCTCTCGCCTGCATCTGCGAAGGCTCGCATACACGCGTTCAAAACCCCTGTCCGCCCACTCATGAGACTTAATCTCCAGCTGGCGCTACTAAGACGCCAATCGATATTTTTTTCCCTGATCAATTCTCACAATTTAAAAGGCTTCAAAGTTAAAGACGTGCCCCATCTCTGCAGTATGGGTTGCCAAATTCTACTTTGGGGCCATCCACCTTACTGCCAGCTGGTGCTCATGCATTAATATTTGCAGTTTTCAGCCTGTTTGTGTTACATAATTGTACATACTGCAACTGAAGTGAAGCCGGTCGAAAACGGCGAACGTTTCCTGCTTAGGGCTAGGGTCCTTTGGTTGCAGT